CTTTATTTCCCATATTCAATTAGTCATAAATTTCTATGGATTCTTTTCCCCCTATTAATTCGCAATCATCTCAACTGCTATTGCCTCGGCTTAGTTTTTAATTCCTATTCATTTCATTGCCTTCAATTTGGTCTCTCTGCTTCCCAAATTGCCTTCCTGAAATCTATCTTGTATGTTGTATTTTAATGATCTTCTTAAGACTTAAGCTTAATCAGGCAGCTGTCTACTTGAAGCTCCCTATCAACTTCCCTTTGCTTTTAGGTTTAGTGTCAAATTTCTAATATTCAGTATAGATAGTTCAACTTTTCCATCAAAATCATAAATGACTAGGGGCGCCTGGGTGGCTCAGTGGGTTAAAGCCTCTGCCTTTGGCTTGGGTTGTGATCCCAGGGTCCTGGGATGGAGCCAGCCATGGGGCTCTCTGCTTCGCAGGGAGCCTGCTTCCTCCTCTCTCTCTGCCTGCCTCTCTGCCTACTTGTGATCTCTCTCTGTCAAATAAATAATTAAAAAATCTTTTAAAAAAATCGTAAATGTCTACACACATACTGCTTTTGCGGGGCGGGGGGGGGGAGATTCAAGGTCCCATGGTGTTTAGTTCTCCAGTGCCTTTGTACATGCACTCTCCTCTCCCTGGAGTGTCCTTCCCTGCCTTCCTTGCCTGTTTTTCTGGTTGCCCTTCCTGACTCCGTTTTTGTAACCCCTAATTGTGTTCCCATAGTACATGATGCAATTTCGAGATAACTACTTTATATGCTATCTCACTGTATGCATTTCTTCCAAAATGGGGACTAAATTCTTCATCCCTCTACTCCATTGCCTAGCACCAAGCTTGTTTGTGATTTACTCCTTATTTGGAGTATTGGGTTGTGTGTGTATATGGTATATGAGCCTGCTTGCACAAATGTAGAGAGTCAATCCGAATCTCTGCTGGGCACTCAGCGCAGTGGGCACGCGAAAGGTTTTAAACTAAAGTTTTTCGCAAGATCACCACCGATATTAAGGAGCATTAAACTATTTGTGACATCGGAAGCATCCCATACTGTGCAGCAGCGCAACACCTTTGCGCGAGCGCAGGGTGAATGAGGAGGGGCCAGGGACAACTATGGAGGTTGCGCGCAGGCGCACCCGGAAAGAAAGCCTCTCTTATTCGGCCCTCCCTTTCCAACCAGCTGCTGGCCGAGCTTGCAAATAGTCATTTCCGGGAAACAGGCGTTTGCTTTGTGGGGTGCAACATGGAGACGACCAGTGGAACTGCTGAGCCGGTGAGACGCTGCTCTGGGGTCGGGTGGGTGGGGAAGCCGAGCGGGGTCGAGCTTTGTATACCATCTCTCCCCCTTCTTGTTCCCTTCCCAGGTTTCAGGAGAACTGGCGTCTGTGGCACATGCTCTTTCTCTCCCAGCCGAGTCTTATGGCAACGATGTGAGTATGACTCACCCCCAGCTCCCACTAATACAGTTAGCCTGGTATGTCTGCAGGGCCTGCCACGAAATTGTAACCTCCTGATGTCTTCTGTGAACCCTCTCCATGCCCGACAGAAACGGAGGTTTCTCATTCATTCTAACCTTTTTGGTACACAAACCCAGGACAGATGCCGGTGGAAGTAATTCCGTAACTTTGCTGCAATAGCACCACCTGAGAAGCTTTTATATTTTCCGTTGTCCAGGTCACAGTCTATACCAATTAAATCAAAATATTGGGGGGGGGGGCCGGCGGTGAGAGTCAGAAACTGGTGTTTTTTAAAGGTTCCTGAATGATTTCATTATTCAGTAAAGTGACACCGAATTATGGTATGTCTTGTTTAGATTCTTAGGAAGAAAGCATATGATATTTTTGAGATACAAGACACAGGGACATGAGAATAGTATTAACACTCAAATAAAAGTGTGATTGATGTATGTTAGGTTAGAGTATAAGATCCAAAGGAGTTTAGCTGAAGGAGAAACCCCTAAGAACTGAGACAGCAGTATGGGAAGACTTCACTGAGAAAGTGAATCTCTAACTGAATCCTCAAAGTATGGTTGGACACAGAACATGGAGTAAGGCATGGAGGTGAAAATGCAAATGGCTTTGCTGGGGTCAGTGAAATAGATCCATCTGGCTAGAGTGGGAGATTTTAATGGAACAGATGATAGGTACTTGGGAAGGCTTATTTAATAATCTGGCCTGCTTCACAATACTGATTCAGTTTTAAGTGTTATGGATGGGGAATTGGCTATCTTTTCTGGGGGGGAGGAATTGGCTATTTTATAAACCCAAATCTTATAAACAGATTATAACATGTCAGACTATTAAAAGTGAAGGGTATTTCACTTCATTTATCTTACTTTGTTCTCCCAACAACTCAGTGATACATGTGAGTATATTGTATCAGTTTTACAATGGTTTAATTGAGTCCTGAGAAGGCACTCTATCTACTGCTTTCTGTAGTCTCTCACACTTCACTAGCTGCTGGAAAAAGAGCCAGTGGCTTATGCTATTGATTAGATTGTATAGGCAGCTCCTTTTGGTGGGTAGTTTCCCTCATTAAGGACAAAAGTTTTCTGTTTTCCAAACCTATTAGTCCAGTTTTTATTCTTTGGCAGTAGTCTTATTGACATTACCTAGACATCCACAGACATCTTTAATTTGTTCTCTAGTAGCAGAATTGGGAGATTCTGACCTGACATTCTTCACTCCTTTGCAGCCTGATATTGAGATGGCTTGGGCCATGAAAGCAATGCAGCATGCTGAAGTCTACTACAAGGTGAGTTGTCTGTTTTCGTTATTAAACAGAATTAAACATGGAATTGTAGTGTTTGGTTCTCTGCTAATCACTATTCTCAGCAAGTTAAAACATATGTATTTTGGAGATAATTTTTATTACTGTACGATTTTGCCCACAGAGAATGAGGGGGTGAAAGTGAATTTTGTTTTGACAATGAGGAGTTTTACTTCTTTGCCCAGTGTTCTGCTGCTAACTAGCAAAATGATTCTGTAATAGGCAATTAATAAATGTTTGATGACTGAATGGACAATTCACAGAGGGCAATAGCCAGGCAGTTCTAGGCCCAAAAGGGTTTGAACTGGTGGCAAGGACTGTAATATATTATGGCCTTTGAAAACTATGTCATGATTTCATCTGGGACCTCGTCTGCCTGTACTTCCTAATAACTCTTCTGCCCTTAGAACCATAAAGATTTTCTGGGAAAGGGGGGATAGAAGTGTAGTAAATTAGAGACTAGTTTCTGTTATGTTGTCTTGTGTCTGGCAGCTGATTTCATCAGTTGACCCACGGTTCCTGAAACTCACCAAAGTGGATGACCAAATCTATTCTGAGTTTCGGGAAAATTTTGAGAAACTCAGGATAGATGTGTTGGATCCAGAAGAGCTCAAATCAGAATCAGCTAAAGAGGTAAGAGTTCTCTCAAATATTGCATAGCATCTCACTAACAATTATTGATTGTGAAAACATTTTTATACATCTAAACTTTTTTCAGTATGTTTTAAGGAAATATGTAAAGAACCAGGGATTTTATGTATTTATAATCAACCAATAAGTAAGTTATGAAGTGAAATAAATATTTTTCTGGTATTTGAGTTTTTTATGTACACTGGATCTATTTTTTTCCTTTTTTTTTTTTGGACTTGGATATTTTATCCCTTCCTACCCAGGCCTTTCAGGGAAGAAGGAGCAAATTTACTTATGTTAGTAGTTTAGCTTGGATGGAGAGTTGGCAAATTGGCAAAAAAAAGTCTTGAATGGAGAATTGGCAAAGAGGATACAGAGAGGTGTTTGGGAATTCTCTGGATTTAAGTTCTCATTATCATGGGCCATGGATACTAGGAGAACTTAGGTTTCCCATTGCTTACCTGATTATCATACTTTTACAGTGTGCTAAAACTCTTACAGTGGGGAAAATACTTCCCTGAGAGTAGGTCCTTGGTTTGTGATGTATGTGACCTTTTAACATTGTTATTGTTAACTGTTAACTCTGTTACTGATCTTGGCTAAAGTACTTATAGCAATGGACTTCTTTCTTAAAATTTAACTTTGTGACCTTGCCACATTCCTGCTGCCTTTGTCTCATTTGTGCTTCAGTGGGGATGAATAACTATTTTGGGCTGAGTTAACCAATAACTTAAAAACAAAACAATATATTTGAGAAGTCAAATTTTAATTCTGTAGCTGAGGATTTAAATATTTTGTCAAGTTAAAATATTGTTCGTGTTGAGAAATACCAGTCTAAGGACAATAGATAGCATAGAAACTCAGTGCTAATGAAAGTAGAAATCAGCTCAGTCCTAGTCTCTTTCACTATGGGTACTTCACTTACTGAGGAAGTGGGGTCCCTTCTCCTGGCCTGACTTCACCAGCATCCTGCATTTGTCAGCTAAGGCATCTTTTTTGCCTTTATAGAAGTGGAGGCCATTCTGCTTGAAGTTTGACGGGATTGTAGAAGACTTCAATTATGGTACTTTGTTGCGACTGGATTGTTCCCAGGGCTACACTGAGGAAAACACCATCTTTGGTGAGATTCTTGCCTCTGGAGTGGTTTCTGTATAAGGAAATTGAGGGATCTGGTTTTACTGATGAATTAGTGACATGAATAGTTTGGGGATTATCTTATTTGTTACATATTTAAAGATCATGTTACTTTTCATTGAATAACTATGAGATAATATGGTTAAGTATTTTCAGCCTCATTTAACAAGATTAGAATTCCACATCTCTGAAATTTATGACTGTACTGGAATGCTTTGACTGTTAGTTCAACTTTGTTAATAGACTTCCAGTAGGTTTAGAAAAGTAACTGTGACTAGGACAATAATCAATTCTATTCACCTTTCAGCCCCCAGGATACAATTTTTGGCGATTGAAATTGCTCGGAACCGAGAAGGCTATAACAAAGCAGTTTACACCAGTGTTCATGACAAAGAAGAAGAGAAAGAAGGCAACTGTGGAAGAGAGAAAGGAACTGACAGTGGACGGGCAGAAGAGAAAGGAGCCATCAGAGAAAGAGAAAAAACAAAAACCAACAAAGGAGAAGAAAAAGAGAAAGGAGCCGACAAAGAAATTAGCAAGAGTGGTGAAACAGCTATGTAAGGTAGACAAGGAATAGCATCCTGGAAGCTATGACCCAACTATGTCTACAGATACTAGGATGCTACTTGCGCAGACCCTGTGGTTAAATGTATCTCTTTGTGCAATTGAAAGACATAAAGAAGTACATCTTTCTAGCCTAATAATCAAGAGCTACTTTTGTTGTTCTCTTGTATGAACCAGCTTAGAGACTATTAGGGTGTTAGTTGAGCATTTCTTGGTATAGTGTTTCTTGGTTCTCACCACTGGTCAATTAAGAAATTTTACAAATAAATTTCTTTTGGTTCTTATGACTATATCTATAATTGACTTTTAAAAGGTATTTCCAATTATTTGACACTACAGATTTTTTTTCAGGTATATAATCTTTTTGGCATGTCTAACAAAATGATTTTTGCCTATTTTTAAATGCTTATCATTGTTTCCTGCAGTAAAGTTTCCTCAAATCTGTTATGTTGTATGTGGTTTGGGGATTAGAAGTCCCTATGTAAGGGTTAATTCCTGCTATCTGAGTCACTATAGCTTTCTGATTTTCTTTGATATATCTGGCAAATATTTGATGAATATTCTATGGAGATAAGAGCTGGGGCCTGAACCTGTCAGACCAGTGAATGCAGCCCAGTTCACATTAGAAGAGCAGGAAACTGGACCTGCTTCAGTACCTGCTTCTCTTCTGGTACCCAAGTTGTTACCTGAAAGCTAGCAGAAATTAATAATTAAATATAAAGCCTGGTAGAGTTACTTCCCTTTTATAATGCTATGGACAAGAACATACATTTACAGAGTAACATAAAATGAACATTTTTAAATGATATTTTGTCAGACTCCAAAAATAGAGCAGTTGATTTTATATGGGTGGAGGGGTTTCTTCTCATCTAATGGCTTTTAGGAGTGTATGTTTCCATTATCTTTACATATGTATAAAGGTTTGTGCATGTACTATTAGACTTACTGACCTTGATTGCTAAAACTAGTTAGAGGAAGCCACAATATTTATAGTGCATACAGTAAATTCTCTTAAAACTCTAACCACAGCATGATCATTTGAGAACGGATTTAGCAGAGCAGAGAAGCGGGAGAAATGAGACTTTTTCCCCTGGTGGATATAGAAGAAAAATAAAAGTTAAACTCAATTGATGAATTATTTTCTAGGCAAGAGCTGAACTAGAGATACCTATAGCTAGCAGCAGCAGTTATCACAAAGCAAATAGGTTTCTCTATGGATGCTTTTTAGCCAACTCTTAAAAATATTTAAAACATTTGTTAGACTTCTCATTTTATAGAAAGTATCCCTTTAAATGAGTAGGAGAGTGTTAAACACTTCATACTAGACAGACTTTTAAAAATCAAGAACGTCCTTCGCTGTATTGACTTTGTGTAGTTCATACATTCTTTTTTTTTTTCAAGATTTTATTTAGTTATTTGACAGACAGAGAGAGACCACAAGTAGGCAGAGAGGCAGGCAGAGAGAGAGGGGGAAGCAGGCTCCCCGCTGACCAGAGAGCCCAATGCGGGGCTCAATCCCAGGACCCTGAGACCATGACCTGAGCCAAAGGCAGAGGCTTAACCCACTGAGCCACCCAGGCGCCCCCATACATTCTTAAATATCCATGAACATGTGTCCATACACATTGCCTGAGGGACTAGGGAAGAATAAAAATTACTGGCTGCATACAATTCTGCCTGTGGTAGCCTTTTCCAGATTGCTCACCAGCAAGAAAACTTGCTTAATTACTTCTCTCTGATTTTATGGAGAATAAGAAATAAATCATTGAAAGATTACTTTAAAGTGAGAGGCATCTCTGTCCAAGAACTAGGAAATACAAACTGAGCAAAGGGAGGTGAATAAGAACACAGAACACTTCAGCAGCATTGTAAAGCTAGGAATCCAAGACCGTATCCAAGGTTAAAGGGGAGAGTGGGCAGAATTCTCAAGGTGGCCTCAAGATTTCCACCCTTGGCATACATGCTCTGTATAATTCCCTCCTGTTGGTGTGGGCAAGCCTTGTGAATATGAGGGGATTCTGTTCCTTCATTTAAGTTATAACCATTTAATTTTGAGTTAATAAAAAAGGAGATTATCCTGGGTGGGTATGGCCTAATCAGGTGAATCCCTAAGTGGGAAAAGCAGCAGCAGATGTTCACCTGTTGGCCTTTAAAAAGCAAAAAGCTGTGTTATTCAAGGGGGCCATGTGGCAAGGACCTCAGGGTAGCCGCTGAGAGCTGAGAATGCTCCCAGGCTGAGAGCCAGCAAAAAATGGGGATTTCACTCTAGTTGGAAGGAACTAAATTCTACCAATAACCAACAAGTTTGGAAGAGGACTTAAAGTCTCGGATGAGATTACAGTCCTGGCTGATACCATTATTTTGGTCCTGTGAGACCCTGAGCAGAGGACCAAGTTAAGCTATATCTGGACTCTTGACCCATAGGACTCTGAGATGGTAATGGGTATTGTGTTAAGCTACTAATTATGTGGTAATTTGTTATGGAGTAGTAGAAAATGGCTATAGACTCTGGTACTGGAAGTAGAGTGCTGCTGTATCAAGTACCTAAAATGTGGGAGTGGTTTTAGAATCAGGCAGTACGTGAAGACTAGAAGAATTTTGAGGACCGTGATAGGGAAAGCCTAAATTGCCTTAAACAGGCTGTCAGTAGTAATATGGACTTTAAGGATGCTGTAGGCAAGGGCTCAAAAGGAAGTAAGGAAAGTGCTGTTGGAAACTAGAAGAAAAGGAATCCTCTTAGTAGGTGGTAGCATTATGGTTAGAGGCCTGGAAGTTTGGGATTTGAGTCTTTGCTCTAAATTATTTGGGAGATGTTATCAAGCCAGGCTTGACATAGTATGTAAACATCTGTGATTTATTCAGAATGTGCTACCATTCCAATTATTTATCTCCATGACATCTTTTGGAGGCAGGGAAAGGGCACAGACTAATTTTGGCATTTACAGAAGGGAAAATTGCAGTCATTTTGAAGTTTTAGGCCACTGAATTTGTGGTAATTTGTTACAACCACAATAGGAAACCAATAAAGAAGGCATACTGAGCCCTGTTTAAAGGTAGAGACATTTACTACACTGTCATTATTTACTTTGAAACTATAGTTTAAACAAAGAAGTTGTGCCAGATAATTGAGACATGAGCTGTACCCAAAGCAAGCTTCAATAATTCTAAACCATTTTGAACTTATTCTTCTAAGGAATTCCTGTAGCTGAGTCTGTGTGTTAGGTGCCATTAATATAATTGGGAATTCTCTGAATTTACTTAAAGGTAACAGTACAGGGCTTAGTAATGAGTATGTGCTCATGTGAAGCTTACAGTAGTATTAATAAAACTCGACAGTAACTTCATCAATTATTTGGACCTTAGACAAAATATTTTTCTGGACAGGTGTATTTTATCATTGATGTTGTTTAAAATTGTCAGAGCATGGTGATAATTCAAACAGGCCAGATTTTTGTTGGTTTTATTGCTGTTTTTAAATTTTCTACAGATAATACAGTTCTTTTTTTTAAATTTAATTTTATATTTTCAGTGCTAAGATTCATTGTTAATGTACCACACCCAGTGCTCCATGCAATACAGTTCTTTTTGCTCGCACACAATGTGGATGATTCTCACTATCCCACATTGGTACACAATTGCTTTCATACATATTCTTATTCAGATACATAGTCAATATCTTAGCGTGGCTCAGTTGATTAAGCATCTGCCTTCAGCTTGGGTCATGATCCCAGGGTCCTGGTACTGAGTCCAGCCTCAGGCTCCCTGCTCAGCGGGGAGTCTGCTTCTCCCCCTCCTTTCTGCTTGTGCTCTCTCGTGCCATCTCCATCTCTCTCAAATAAAATATTTTTAAAAATTGTCAGTATCTTAATTGATGATTCACAATTAAGGCATGCACGTATGTTATGTGAATGGCCATTTCCCCATGCCTACATGTTTTTAATCTAGAATTATAGAAGCTTTACAGATAGATATCAACATGATGGTGGTCTCTCGAATTGTACTACTTTCACATGATGACCATTTATATGACTGGCTAGCTTTAAATTTTCCCTACTCAGGATTTCTCTGATTTCCACAATATAAACTGCATTTTTGGGGTACCTGGGTGGCTCAGTTGGTTAAGTGGCTAACTTGATTTCCATCAGGTCATGATCTCAGGGTCCTGGGATTGAGCCCCAAGTCGGGATCTGCATTCAGTGGGGAGTCTGGGGATTCTCTCTCTCCCTCTACCCTACCCCCCACTTACACACACTCTTTCTAAAATAAATAAATATATCTTTAAAAAAAAATATATATATGTGTATTTTTATTGCATTTTCTTTAAGTCAGTATGTTTTCATTTTATAAAAATTGAGATTGAATTGGGATGCCTAGCTGACTCAGTGAAGCATGCAACTCTTTTTTAAAAGATTTTATTTGACAGAGATCATAAGTAGGCAGAGAGGCAGGTGGGGGCGGGGGAAGCAGACTCCCCACTTATCAGGGAGCCCGATGTGGAGTTCGATCCCAGTACCCTGAGATCATGACCTGAGCCGAAGGCAGAGGCTTTAACCCCTTGAGCCACCCAGGTGCCCCAAGCATGCAACTCTTGATCTCACAGATGTGAGTTCAAGCCCCACATTTCTCACTGTGGTGGCCTCAGGCACAGAGTAGTATAGATGTAATTTGGAAGCCATATGAATGAGAAGGAAGTGAAAGGTGAAAGGAAAAGAAGTTTTTCATGAGAATCATAGAGAAAAAAATGGTTACGATATATATATCTATCTATCTATATATAGATAGATAGATAGATAGATAGATATATCTATCTCCACAATGGGTATAAAGCTTACTTTAAAAAAATTGATATTGAATCATAAAGTAATTTGCCCTCCATCACATAAGTGTGGTATTAGGATTCAGATCCATATCTTTTGGTTATGAATCTTACGGTTTTTCCAGAATCCCACTCTAGATTCAGCTTCTTGCCAGAATAGAGACAAGTAATTTGAGTAAGGAATCAAAGTATTTAATAATCATAGGCAAGAGCATTCTAGTGTGGAGTGATGTACTGAGGTAGTTTAAGCTCCTCAAGTATTTGTAATTTGTCTTTTTCCTTCTTATCTCTGCAAAAGATTCCTTGTTGCATATGCAACTCAGACTTGTTTAAAAAGCATTACAGTGTAATCATTATAGTGTATCACTGAATGTTCAGTTTCAAAATTATATTTAAATTTAAATTAAATTTCATTTAATTTCTTCACCTTTCTTATGAACTGAGATTTGGCTGATACATTCCTGCAAGTGGTTTTTTTTTTTTTTAAGATTTTATTTATTTGGGGCACCTGGGTGGCTCAGTGAGTTAAAGCCTCTGCCTTCGGCTCAGGTCATGATCCCAGTGTCCTGGGATCGAGCCCCACATCAGGCTCTCTGCTAGGCAGGGAGCCTGCTTCCCTTCCTCTCTCTCTGCCTACTTGTGATCTCTCTCTCTCTCTGTCAAATAAATAAACAAAATCTTTAAAAAAAAAGATTTTGTTTATTTATTTGCTAGAGAGAGAAAGAGCGCACAAGAGGGGGAGCGGCAGACAGAGGGAGAAGCAGACTCCCCGTCGAGCAAGGCACCTGATGCAGGACTTGATCCAAGGACCCTGGGATCATGACCCAAACTGAAGGAAGCCCCTTAACTGACTGAACCACCCAGGCGTCCCTCCCTCAAGTGTTTTATAGTTTTATTTTTTTAAAAGGCT